CTCGGGGGCTCTCTGCTCTGCTCCCACGGTTGCTCTGCCACACACTTTTTATGGTTTGCCTCGGTGTCTCAGGGTCAGTCTGGGCCCGTCCCGACACTGAGTCTCCAGTGTTGTCCCCCTTAGAGCCTGGGGCCATCAGGCCCTGCAGTACTTCTTGTTCTGCTTGAACATCTGACTCTTTGTCATATATAGGTGCCACATGAGCAGTTAAGTATTCTGGAATTCCAATTATTTGCTATTATCCCTAAATTGTTGTGATCCACACAGTCAATACCTCCGTATAGCCAGTAAAACATAGGTAAATTCTGGTATTCTCTGCTTCAGCCAAGACCTGTTATCAGTGATGATATCCTTTTGTCTATGTTGTTATCTGTATGTGGCAGTTCTTGTTGATGTGCTGCTGCAATCTTTAAAAAAAAATTTTTTTACAGATCATTTTATTTTTGTGGGGGGGGGGGCTCTTAGAACACTTATAACAACTGATACATCAATTGTATAAAGCATATTTGTACATGTTGCCATCATTATTTTCCTAACATTTACATTCTATTTGAGACCTTGGCATCAGCTCTTTTTACCCTCCCTCCCACCCTCATGGCCCCTTGATAAATTATAAATTATAATTTTCAAATCTGACACCTAGCACTGTCTCTCGCTGTGGTTTCTTCCTCCATCCTCTCCCCTACCCTCCTGGTATCACTACTACCATTTCTGTTCCTGAGGGGTTTATTTGACCTGGATGCCACTCGTCCTGAGCGCTTATCTGTACCTGTGTACATGCTCTGGCCTAACGCACAGTGAAATGCAGGATTGGGGCCATGATAGTGTGGAGTGAGGAAGCCTCAAGGGACCAGAGGAATACTGTGTATTTCATCAGTGCTATAATGCGTCCTGGTTGCTGCAACCACTTTTAGTTGTTCCAGGACTGTGTCTGTTTGCTGAAACATTTCAATTGATATTCTGTTAATTACTGAAGCTTTTTCACTAATACCTGTAGTGTAATTGGGACTTCTTCCTTCAATACCATCTTGATCATATGCTCTCCCCTGAAATGGTGGAACATAAACAGTTTTTTTGGATATAGAAACTTGTTAATCCTTCCATTTTGTTTTGATGTTTCCTACATCATTCAGTATTTTTCTATAGAATTCTTCATTGCAATTCAAGGCTTGTATTTTTCCTTCAGTTCCTTCAGCTTGAGAATTGCCAAGTATGTTCTTCTTGAGTAGTTTTTCAACTCCAGGTTTTTGCATATTTCCCTATAATATTTCACTTTGTCTTTCTGAGCTGTGTTTTGAAATTCTCTGTCCAACTCTTTCACTTCATTTTGCTTTAGCTTTTCTATGTTTATTAGCAAGTTTCAGAGTCTCTTCCTACAACCATTTTTTTCTTTAACTCCTTAAACATGTAATATTCTATAGATATTTTAAAAGAGGACTATTTGAAGTTTTCATAGCAGTAATGTTACAAGCCAATGTTAGGTTTCTTTAACTAGTTTACTAGAGGATATATAATTTAAACACCATTCACAATTATTTTCAAGAGAAAATTATATTTGTCAAGACTCTTTTAAATATACACTTAAAATGGGTACAATTTATGGCATGCTAATCTTTGAGAGTCACTTTGAAAGTCTTTTATCCACATAGGGAAATGCAGTGTTGGATGATTGAAACTGGATTGAAAATATTATATAGAGTCTCAAAGTGTCTTCCTTTTCAGTGTCTACTCCTTTTGTGGGTCTGGAGTCCTTACGTATGTTGATTAGCCCTCTAGAGATATTTCTCTTTTTTTGAGATACTTTTCAATGTAATGGACCTAGTGGACTATCCTCAGAACAGTCCTCACTGCCCCCAGCTACTATGTGCCTTATAAACCAATCAACCAAACTCACTGCATTGAGTTAATGCCAACTCACAGCAGCCTATAGGACAGGGTAGAACTGCCCCTATGGGCTCCTGAGATTCTTTAGGGTAGTAGAAAGCACTATGTCTTATGTGCCTCTATTAATTATCTCTAAATCCACATTTAATCAAACAACAGATATTTATTGAGAATCTGCTACTTTCTAGGTAGTATGGTAGCCACCAGCAAGACAACTGAGTAATATAAGCACCCTAGGCTGGGAGGTCAACATGCAAACAG